TGTTCCTGTCAGGAACAGAAATGGCTACAGCCCAGGTTCCTGGTGGTATATGGCAACTGAGGGGAGGTACTGGGAACTGAGCACAGTCAGAGAGGAGAGGATGGGTCCAACAAACAGGAGTGAAGAGAATTAACAGCCAAAGGTGACCCCACAGCTCTGTCTTCTGATTTTGTTATTCCTTCTGCTGTTACTTTTCTATTTCTGGCTACAAATGTTCTGATGATGCAAAATTAGCTACCCTGAGTGGTACAGTGAGACCCTGACCTTGTCAAGCATTGCATGTACCAGACAGGAAAGCACTGAACACGTTTTTCCAGCTTGCTCTGTTCTGTTCAATCTTAATGATTTTTCTACTTGCATTGCTCAGCCTCTCCAGTGGCTTCATGCAGGAAGCATTTAAAGTAGCACAAGGTGAAAGAAAGTGTCTGAAAAACCTTAGGGTTGCTTGTTTTTAGTGGGAGGACCAGCCAAGGTTCTGGGTGTTCATGACTTGCTGTGGTGAGGAAGGACACACAGAAGCAAGTCACAGCCTGTTTAAACTGTTGCTGTGAATTACAGGAGGTCACACAGGTTTCATTTCCAAGGCTTGCATCCTTCCATGCTGTGGGTTTCCTGGGGCTGTGTCTCACCATGTTCCTCAGCTGCCTGTAGGGAAGAGCTCTTCCCTGTCTGGACATCACGGCTGAGAAAGACGCTGGGAAAAGCTCTCGGGGAAGAGGCCTGTATTAAAGGTGCTCATTTGCTCATGTGCAGAGGCAAAGGATGAGATGACATAGCTTAGATCAGCATTGCATGAATATTCATGACTATTTCTATCATCCCTTTACGAAAGTGCACAGGTCCAGAAGGTGAAACCACTCAACTCCAATCTTTGTCCTGTTTTTGGTGGGGTGGGTTTTTTTTTTGTCAAATCTTCCTGTGCTAACCATTGGCTGCTTCCAGTGAGCAATAAATGTGAACTTACCATACCAACAAATATCACAGCAGTAACAGATGTCTTGAAATGCCAGGGCCAACCTAAGTTTGTCTTTGAGGTTTCTGTGGTTTCACAAGATTATTTAATTTAGGTAATTGTGACTCTAGAAAACACCCTGGTTGTAAGAGGTGTTGCTTGATCCCCTCTGGTACCCCAGTGCCCACCTGCCAGAATTGCTTCCTGCTGAGATCCCAACCTTTAGATTTTGCAGGAGTTGGGCACTGGGCCCAGCTGCTCTTGCAGTGCTGGGTGCCAGAACTGCAGCTGGGCTGAGGCCCCAGCACTGCCCCTGCCTGCCCAGGAACAGCAGGACAGAGCTCTGGTGTTATCAGGCTCAGCAGGACCTGCTCCCAGAGCTGACCCTGAGCCGTGGAGCTGAAGGGGAGGAGAAGGGGGGATCACCCAGTGAAGCTTGTTAAGGGCAAGCAGCTCATGCTGGGTGTTGGCAAAAGCAACGTCACAAATGGTGGAAAAGTGACTGTGGTAAATTCTGACTTCACATCCCTAATTAGGTGCTGTCAAAGCTGCTCCAAGACAGTAACTCAGCGGTGCAGCCTTGGATCAGTTGGGCTGTGGGGGAAGGAGGAGAGCCAAGCCTTCTCAGGTGATTTCTCATGGGTAGGAAAAGTTGTGTCAAGCACTGAGTGGTGTTTGCCTGCCTTGTTTGTCCACCAGGGATGGAGGATGGCTGGGCTGGAAGTGCAGGCATTGCCAAGGGGGGTTCTGTAACCCCACTTAACTCTGTCCCCCTGACAGAGGATGCTGTGCACCTGAGAAATCATTTTGTATTTTTAAGATAAAACCTCTGACTTCTGTTCAGAAAAGTTACAAAACTATTCTACAGCCTTGTTGCTTATTAACCCAGCTATCTTCGTAGCAGGATGCTTTGCTGGGGTATGTACCCAATCCAGAGGAATCAAAACCAAAACCATTGTTTGTACAAAAAGTTCATGAAACAGAGTTGTTCTTAACCCACGGGAAGAGCTGGACATTGTCCAAGTCTGCATAAAGCTTAAGTACAAATCTAATTCAATATGAGTTTCCTAAGACTTGTCCTAAATGCACCTATTGGAAAGGAACAGACACATCTAGTAAATGTAGAGCAGGAGGTGTGGGAAGCAGCTGGAATATTTCTGTCTTGTTCTAAAAGTGCCTGTGGCCTTCTTTAGCCATCTGCTGTGAAGGTATCCTGCTAGGAATGAATGACTTAATGTTGCTTCAGGACTGGGACTGCGTGGAAGTTATGGGACAACTGACATGTCCAGCTGACAGGAATGACTTGTCACGCTTGGAAGTTACTACGTGGGCACAGCAGAAGACGAGGTTTTAATGTGGAGAGGCCCACAGGAGCAGAATACTCAAGAATTGCACAGATATGAACTGAAACAAAGGGAGATTTAATCTGTGGGACCTTCTAAAAGGTCAAAATGCAGCATACTCCCAGGGAAGTTACTGGAAGAAAAACTGATAAAGTAGAAAACCAAAATGCAGAACTAGGGCTACCAGCATGGAGCTAATCTGCTCCACTTATTTATGTTTCCACTCAGTGCTTGTGTTGTAAAGAAACACTCTTTGAAGACTGGGTACCACTCATTTCACTTTTTCTTGATAAGAACTACTTTCTCCTAAAGAAAAACAGTCCTTGTTATGGCATTGGCCTGTGACTTTTGTCCACTTCAGAGTCACTGAATAGTTGGTGCTGGCAGGGACCCAGAGATCACCTTGTCTGACCTCTTCCCAAAGCAGGGGCAGGTCCAGCTGCTCAGGACCATGGTCACCTCGACTTTCAGTATCTTCAAAGGGCAGAATTTCCCCCATCTTTGCTTCCTCAGATCACACTTCCCTTTTCCTTTGATTCACTTTCACCTTCCAAACACAGGAGATGATTTTTCTGTGCTTTGCTCATATGCTTTGCTAATACCAGAAATGTATATAGGATAAGATGTCTCACCCATTTTGGCTTTTTTTTAGAAGTACCACAAATATCTGTAGTCTGATCCTCCATGGAAAGGGAATCTCAGAAGAATGTCATGACTGCCACATTAAAAACTTGTAATGCTCATGTGAGGTGTAAATATCATCAGTACAAAATGCAAGTGTTGGAAAACTAAGCAAGACTTAAAACTTGAAAAGCCTTACATATTTACTGGTAAGAAAAACTTCAGTATTGTGAGAAAGGTCTTAAACCAGCAGCACCCTTAGCCCCCAGAAAGGAACAGTGTAGTATATTTATTACTAGATACTCAAATACTCTTGCTTATCTCTTAGGAAACTAAGGCCCTGATCATAAAGATACATTCCTAGAAGGATTGGAATATTTGGGGCTTTTGTGTCTAAGCTTAAAACAGTGTCTGAAAACTAACTGAATGATAACTGGTGTGCAGAGCATCTGCAGCTGGGCTTGGGATGGTTTCATGAGTTTGACAACTGAACTGGTGGATATGAGTAGCAATTCCTCAGGCACCTGAACTGAGTAGGTTTTATTATTCAAACTATGAAGCTGAGTAGGGAACATATTTGTAGGAGTAGTTTCTGACAGTTCCCCTGTTTAGAACTCATGTCACTTGTAACCTACTCAGGAGCAGAGCTTTGGGCAGCACAGAGCACTGACCTGCCCAGAACTGAGCAGGTCATGCAGACTGCTCCAGGGGACTGTTTTCCATGGTGTGTTATCTCTGGGATTAGGAGTTCTCACATGCAGACCCTGAATAAATCTGAGGGCTTGGCTGGTGTACCACAGCCTTTGGTACTGAACCTATCCCCCCTGGGCTCTCCAGCCCTCCCTGGGAGGGCCACAGCACCCAGTGTCTGGTGCTTTGGGGTTCCTTTTGGTTTGGTTTTTTCCCTCCTGAGCCACTTGCTGCCCGAGCAGGGAGCTGCTCCTGCCATAGGCACGTGTCTGCCTGGGCTCTGCCTTCAGGAGCTCTGAGCTGTGAACTATTCCCAGATCCAGAGCCTGAGCACTCATCTTTGATGCTACAGCTTCTTTTGTGTTTTAGTTGCACAGATGAAAGAGGTGGATTGTTCCTGCTGGATCCTCTGAACCCCAGCAGCTCCAAGGCTGGCACCTCCTGCTCGAAGTCTGCTGATGAACATAATTTGGCAGGGCTGAAGGGCTGCCTTTTGATAACTTACCAGTGCACACCATGGGATTCAGGCAGGACCCCTTTCTCAGCTCATTACACTTGCATTGACAAGAATTTTGACTGCACAGGCTGCAGGACTAAAGGATGTCGAGTCAAAGGATGAAAAGATTTGCAGCATGTGATAAAAACATACCATAGTTAACATGGGATATATAAAAAATAATTAAGCCATGTCTCATCTGCATTTAGAAACCAGTGCTGTCTGAATAGAATATAACCAGTGCCAAAGAAGAAAGAATATAAAAATGTTGATGTATAAAAAGAATGGAATGAGGAGTTGGATTTTTTTTTAATATAAAGCAGTCAAAACTGACTGTCCTTTGAAAGGCTGAGGGGTGTATATCCCTTTTTTTTCATCTCTTTTCCTTATTTTCTTTATTCCATTATAGCAGAGAATGAAGAGTTCTCCTTGTAACCGTGGTGCTGTTCATGGTTCTTGTTATTGAATTTAATTTGCACTAAGGCCTTAAGAAACAACTTAGAGAAAAGTCTTGTCTTAATTTTGAGCTCTTCTGTAGCTGGAGCCTGTTAAATAGGTCAGTATGTTTTATGTTTCATTTGAGGGTTCTGTAATCAGGTTCTTGCCTGTCAGATGCAAGAACAGAAAAGTCATTGCTGGTTTTTGGCTTTTTGGTTTCTTTTCTTCAGCACTTTCTCAGTTCAGTTTCTTTCTTAAGGTAATTGCAGATGCACAGCCCTGACTGAGAGCAATTTAGAAGTGAAGACAGGAGTTGTTTAATGTTTTTCTGAAGAGTGACCCTGAACCCTCCTTACAAAGCAATTTACTAGATAAACATATATTATTTCACACTTGATACAATGAAGTCTGAAGAGGAGCTTTTGCCCAGGATAAAACAGAAGAGAAAATTCTTACTTACCATGGTCTGGAATACATCAGGCCTAGAGCCATCACCACGGTCACCTCAAGTTGACACCTCTGTATCTAGACTTAAGTGGATAAATCCAGGTGAGTAACCTGAAAATGATCCTATTTTTGTCTCTCATCTTGTACAAATTATGAGGAATAAGAAAAAGTGAAAGTAGCAAGTATGTGCCATAGTTGTCCCCCCAAAAATGTGGGTATAATAACAGCAAAAACAGAAATCTGGGTGTATTATTGAAGAAAGAGTTGGACCCTAAAACAAAACATGAAAGATCTCCAAGTAAAATAGTGAGAATTTTATAAAACAGCTGACAAGAAAAAGATCATATTCTAGTGAACACATCACAAGGAAAACTGGGGATCAGCTCCAGTTTAATTCATATTTAATGACAGGAAAGTTTTGGGCTCTGCAAAGCTACTGAACTGTCACCTACGTCTCACACTGACTGATGTTGAAAATGTGGTAATAATTCTCTGATTTGGGAAGAGCTGGCAACACCTGGCTTGTTAGTGGTGCTCTTATACACTGAGTAGTGGTAGGTGCTTGTCATATGTCATCTCTCTCTCTATATATATATTTATATATATATATATCTTGTTAGCTGTATATTTGTGGTTAAACTAACACAGGCCTGTGCTGTCAGAATGTCTGTAAACTACAGAAGGAGAGGTAATAGGATGCCAAAGGAAAGGAATGATCCAGCACATCACACAGAACTTTAGTTCTAGAGGTTTCTTCTACACCACCTTCACTTCAACGTCACAGAAATACAAACATTAACAAAACCCACTGACTGAGCAGCACTAGCTCAGGTATATGAAGCAGAAAACATTTAATGAGGAAACTGCAAATGTTAAAGAGTGTCTTAAAATACAATTATTGACCCCCTAATTTAATGAAGCATCACACCTCATGGGAACAATAGAAAAGTTTAGGGTATAAAAGAGACCTCCTTATATTTCCCATGAAATATGGGCATTGGAATGGGCTGCCCAGAGAGGTGGTGGATTCACCATCCCTGGAGATTTTTAAACGCAGATTGGACGTGGCACTGAGTGCCATGATCTAGTAAATGGACTGGATTTGGACCAAGGGTTGGACTCGATGATCTCAGAGGTCTTTTCCAACCCAATCGATTCTATGATTCTATGATTCTATGAGTTTAAAATGGTTCTAGGGGAAAGGAAAAACCAAAAGACAAGGCCATGGTGATGTCAGGCTCATTGTCCAGGAGAGGAAAGGTGCTGGAGCTGCTGATTCACGATGTGCCTTGACCATATGAGGTTTTTTCCTCCCCCTCCCCTCTTCCTCCACTACCCCTCCAGTTCCTGAGCCTCTCTCTACAGGTACTAATAAATGTTGTGCATATTAATGGCTGATAAATGCAACAGGATTCTCCCCTGTACACGTGAGAGGGAAGCACAGGGCCAGACTCTGCATCCCTGCTCAGTGTGGATGAAAGCAGATCCATAATTTATGCTGCTGCTGAGTAAGTCCAGGCACCAGTGCATTGCAATGATTGATGTAACAAAGCTTACTCAGAAATGGCAGCACCAGTGATAGCTGATGGCAGGTTGTTTCTCTCTTGTAAGTGCATATTAGCTGTTACTTTTAAGGAAGAACAAAGGAAGGAAAGCCTGTTTTTTGCCTCAGTCTGACAGATAACACAGGAGGTTACACACTTCTGACTTTCCCCTCGTTGGTACATGACTGCTCAGGTGTGTGCCAGCCACTTGAAGTGGCTTTGGCCTGCACAGGAGAGGGTAACAGCTCTCCCTTGTGTAAGATCAGGGGTTGAAGATCAGATGAATGTATAACCAAGATGAATGTTTACCCCATTCTTGAGCCCACAGTGGTTACAGCTATTACCTAAATCCAGACTGCTGGTACCCCCAGGCTCCCTTGGTTTGTTTTGGAATTACCTGTGGCCTCTCACCTGGGATTCAGTATCTGCTCTCCATGTGCACCCTGGACAAATGTTTTGAAGGACACTTTGCAACTGTACCTATGTGCTGTCAGCCCCTTCATTCCCTGAGCTGCTGCTCTTCCTTGGTGCAGCTCTGAGTTACCAAACAGGTTCCTGAGGGAAGGTTGCCCAGTGTGGTTCATCAGCTCTGTGGTGAACAAACTTGCCAGGCTGCCTCAAAGCTGTCAGATCGGTCGACCTGCCACGAAAACAAATTAACTTGATATAAAACTGCTTTTAACCTGTAATGTAGTGTTTTTGTGAGGGAAATTGTTGAATCCTCGTTTCACATAAACAGATATGTGAGTCATTACAGTTGAGCATGTTTATTGTACATGGCAGTCCTTTTCAAAACACACATGTTTAAACAGATGGCTTATGTTGACTATTAATGCAGTTCCTGCAATTAAGTTCAGTCGACAGAGACTGACACTCTATTGACATCAAAGCTGGGCTGTTGCATCTTCCCCTCATGAATGTTCAAATTGGGATCTGCCACTACAGCCCTGCTGAAATGTCAACTGTGATAAGTCACAATGGGACTGAGGAGCACAGATAAGGGACCTGGCTCTTGCTAAATTACTTTTTGACAGGGATTTACTATTTGCATATTCATGCTGTTACGTTTCAATGGGGAAAGTCCACGTTTGAGCAAGTTACTGCAAATAAACAGCAGCAGGGAGAAGCTGTCTCTCTGTCCCCACAGACGTGGTGGGCTCAAACCACAGGCAAGGCAAGCTCTGCAGTGCAGGGAACCCAAGGGCACTGTAGGCCGTGCTCTGCTCCCAGCACTGCCCCCTGCACAACCCACAGGTGCTGCTGGCAGCTTTATGGCCCTGCAGGAAAACACCAGGAAACAGGGATGGCCACAGAGCTGGGGAGACCCAAAGCTCCTCCAGTGCAGTGCTGTCTTGAGGCAGGATATTGCAATAGGGGCTGGCAAAGGAGTGGTGTGGGAGCAGCCCAGGTGGCACAGCCCAGACTGCAGAGCTGAGGCTGCTTTGGGGCTTTCTGCTCTGCAGCCCCTGTCTCTGTGTTTAATAGGGACTGACAGGTTTCTCCTCCAAGAATTTGTTGCAGAGTTTTGGAATTGATGTAAACATTCACTCCTGTAGCAAAGTGTTTCATACATGAGCTGTGCCTTATGAGAAAAGAAGTGTCTCTCCTTCCTTTGAACTTGCTGATATTGTCATTTAATAATCTGCAGGTCTTGCATTGGAAGAAACACTGAACAGTTGTTCTCTATTCACTGTCTTTGTGTCACCCACTATTTTATAAGTCTGTTCTATTATCTGATGTGTTTTCCAGCCTGAGGAGTTCTGTGTTATTTCTGATATGGAAGAGGTTTTTGTACCTATTTTATCACTTTTTCCTGTATTAAGCCATCAGTATTTTAGTTGCCTGTCTCAGTCATTTCCAGGTACATATCTGCAGCAGGTGATGTGTTGGCCATGAAGTTGGACTCTTATGGCTGCAATTTAGCAAAGAGGGTCTTCAGCCCCCTGTGATCCATTTAGGAGTGGTTTCCTGTAGCTTCTGGAGTGACATGGAGGAACAGCTGTGGTCAGGCAGGCTTAGTGAAGTAGGGTAACTAAAACAGCTTAGCAAGTGTGTTGTGTCTCTTGGATACTGCTTACATTCCCCTCCTTCCTTGGTGCTCTCCTAAAGCCAATTTCATCTTTAGGATTTCTTCTATTATATTCTTCACTTTAATTTACTGGTGGAAAAAAATGACCACAACATACATTTCACCTGTATCTTTAGAAAGAGATGTTTTCCAATGTCCTTTCACTATTCAGTGATAACTTTCTGAACGTGCCTGCATGGGACTGGATTTCTTACAGCACAGAGCTGTGGAGTTGTTAAACTGTTTTCCATATCTGCTCTAGCAGGGCCTGTGACACACATTCTTGAAAGACCTCCAAGTGTCACTGCACGATGCTGGACAAGGCTGAGGTTGAAGCAGAACAAGGTTCCTTTTATTTCCGAGCCTGGCACATCTTCAGGCTCACAGGGCTGGCACTGCACGGCAGCGAAACACTGCCCTAAGGCTGAAATGCCACTCTTGGAGGAGGGAGCTCATTCTCTGTCACACTAATTTAACAATTAATCAAGCCTGAACAAGAGGAGAAACTTGATATGTACAACCTAAAACATAACTTAATGACTGTTCTTTGAGTGGTCATTGCTGGAATTAAAAAAACCCACTGTATTTACGGGAAAGCCTCTTTGAGGAACAACATGCAGGGCTTAAATCTCTTCTGATTTGGTTTTTATTAGCAGAATTTATGGGGGTTTATTTAACAAAATTTACACCACATGAGTAAAAGGGATAGCTCTATGTCTCGCTACATAAACTCTGTGACCTTTCATTTCAGTGAATATACTGCAATAAACATGGACTTTGCAGAGTTATTATTTCAGCACAGTGTTCTGCAAAAAACAAACACACCATAACCAAAGCACCAACTCCAAAAAACTCCCACTCAAATTCCCCAAAAACCTAATGCAAACACTTCACCTCAAACCCATCAAAACCCAAATCCACCTTTCCCAAAGGCAGTGAAATAGCCTGGCTAGAGCAGATTTACTCTCTGAACAGCTCTAGTTAGCATTTTAGTTGACCCAGAGCTCTGGGAAGGAAGTCTTAAAGCCAAAGGGACAAGAGCCTGGATGCTTTTCCAGTAAGGTGTAACTACAGTAACCAGGAGGCACAGCTATTAGCTCTGTCCAGAAAGAGAGGAGGAAAGTTGTGCTGCAGCTTGACTAAATATTTGTGAAGCTAATTTAACATCCTTTCACCAAGTGAACCTATAATGCTCTAAAGAGCTGGGTAAAAATAACCTACAAAAACAGACTATTTTTATAACTTTTCTTGAAAAATGGCTCTAGAGAAGTACAGGTAATGCAGAGGTATCACAAACAGTAGGAAGCTGATTACAGTTGGAGCTCACAAAGCTGGTTATTTAGGTTGCTTGACACTTCTTGTCACTGGAGCTGGATTTCAGTCATATCTGTAACTTTGTCAAATTACAAGTGTTTGGTCTCATGTTTCCCAGCCTGAATGTTAACCACAGACTGTATCTTAGGGAGTAAATTAAAAATTTGTCTTGTTTCTGATCAAGCTGTGTGTGCATGAACCCTAAAGAGCAATTAAGGCTGATTAGCTCAGGCATGCAAGTGGAGTCAGACTTTGCCCATCGAGGCTGCTCTGGCCCCAGCACGGGGCTGGTACTTTTTGTGCTTTCATTGATCCTCCTGCTAGAGCTCAATGGAGGGATCAGAAGGAGGAGTGAAGGCCTGGAGGAGGGAGGGGTCACCTCGGGCAGCTGGCAGGACATGGCAGCCTCTGCAGGGGTGGGTAAGGACAGTGGTGGCTGGGGGGGAGCAGCCCAGCTGGCCAAGGAGTCAGCAGGAAAACAGCCCGCAGAGCTGGGCTCTGACAAGACAAAAGAGGGAAGAGAGTAAAGGAGAAGAGGTAAAGCACTGGAGATTTGGGAGGGACTGTAGCTGCACTGGTCAAGGTAAGAAAACAAACAATAGCAGCAGTTTCTCAAGCAGCAGAACCAGTTTATTGGTTTTGAGGATAAAATATCCCAGGTGAAAAGAATTTGTCTTTTTACTGTGTGTTTTCTGAAAGCTATGTTTTGAAAAAAGCAATTTTAAAAAAATAACATTAACGGTACCATGATTGCTACCACTGCAGGAAGCATCCAGAACTTTCCTGGAGCAGAAGTTTCTCTAGTTATTTCTGAAGGGTCTTGAGAGAGGGAAATGGTTGTGCAGGGGATGGTGGGAGGCAGCCCAGGTAGTCACTTAGAGAAAACCTGATGAACACTGTTGGTTAGCAATGAATGTCTGCAGATAACATTCATTAATTAAGAATTTCTCAAATCTAAATTGTGGAAGAAAGTGAAGGAAAAATGATCACCTTATGGCTGCCAGTATTTCTTTAATCTTACTCCTTACTACGTTAAACAAATGATATATTTGTGTTGTGGCCTTATTTTTGGCTTCCTGTTTCTAAGCTTACTGGCATTTCCTCCTGCCACAAAAAGGCAAAACTAATTTACTGAGAGATTATAGGGCAGTTAGTTTGTGTTGGTTTAGGTGGGGATTCAGACTCTGTCTGACATTGAAGATTAATCCCTACTTCCTTTTGGCTTGTGGATAAATGCAACAAACTTTCCACAGTCACACAGGTAAATTAAGGAGCTTCGCTGGGAAAGCAAGAAAATCAGAATGCTCCTCTTTGAAAAGTTGTAAAATGCTTCAAAAACAGCAGCTCTCAGTCTGACCTTGTGGCTGTTGAGCACCAGTGGGATTCCTGGGCTGTGCTTCCATGTGCTCTGAGGATGGAGGACCTTCCTGGCAGTGGCCCTGATGAGCTGGGAGGCCCCAAAGCTTGATACTCAGACAGATGTAGACGGGAATGGTGATCAGATGTTTGCTTTGTGGTTTGTTTTGGTTTTGTAGGTTTTGTTTTGTTTTTTTACCCCTCAACATTTCCTACAAGTGAAGAGATCTTGCTTTTCCCATCTGGAGGCAATCTGTCTGCATGGAGCAAAGCACTAACAGGGTTTTCCCTTGCTTGGATGTGGAATATGAACCATCATTCAGGGAAAGACTTCTTGTCAGGCAGCCTGGCCATGCTGGGAGGTTTGGAATGCTGGAGGTGCCCTCATTCTTCTCTCTCATTTTTGGCAACTGAGTGCACACTCATAAAGCTGGTTATTGGGTTGCTGGACGCTTCTTGTCACTGGAGCTGGATGTCAGTAGTTTGTACCTTTGAGGTGGATATCAGTAATTTGTAGGGCAAGCAGGGCATCCACCCCCTCAAGGGACAGAGCAGGTGTTTGTTGCCTTCTGCACACAGCTGAGAGCAACTCGTTCCCAGGCCAAGGAGAGCTGGCAGGGCCCTGACAGGAACAGGGGGATGACCACGTGCCTCCCCTATTCCCTGGTACAGGCTCACCCTCAGAGCTGCTGAGTTGCCATCCTTGATTCCCTGTTTTTAACTTAGGGATTTATGCCTTTGCAGGAAGTGATGTTCCCCGTCTCAACAATCTTGCCTCTGTCTGAAACTTTGATCTTCCTTATTTTGTCCAGCCAAGAACCCAGAGCCTGGATTGGGTAAGACTGCACAGGAACCACTTTGGAGCATCATTAGTGAAGAGAAGAATTAATTCTCTCAGTTGTCTAATATTGAGAGAGCCCTATTTATCAGGACCTAAAAAACCCTCACCTTGGTACTGGAGGGTTTCTGTTTGCATTAGAAAAGGTGTTATTTATAGGTATCTTCCAGGAAAGTGCACATCCAGCATTCCTCATGGAGCAGAGAAGAGGAAGTTTTCATGGTTAAGGGCCGCAATTCTGAGCTCACAGTGTAGGAGAGGCAACCACAGGATATCACAAACTTGTTAAGGATTGATGAGTATGTAAGAAGAGACTATGCCAAATATTTCAAACTCTAGTTTTATGTTATAAAAATTGCTAAGTCTTGTGGTTTGGTTTCTTTTAAGATGAACTAATATCCTCCAAAATAGTAACATCTAAATTACAAAAATGGAGATGAGTATAAGCTCTGGTTTTGGAATTAACTTCCCCAAAAAAGGAGCTGTAAGAACTAACCTGTATCCTAACATCCTTCAGTTTGCTAGCCAAGCTCTTCTATTGTTCTCCTGTAAAATATGCTCACCTGTCCTCTGATCATGTTAGTGGATACATTTTAATTCATCTTTCTTGACAAGGGGTGACCTATTCTCATCATGGCCTTTGTTTTTAGAAGTCCTGACTTGTATTGCATGAGAGACTTGCAAGGGGCTGTTACATATGAAGGCACAATCTAGTTCTGTGTGCTTTTTCATATTTTATTATTTTAAATGATAAAGGTAAATATTAGCATCACAGAGGCACATCACATGGGCTCAACTGCTGTAAACTTAACATGAACAATATTATAATCAAACCAAAATGACAGTTGAGATTAGATGGTGTGTTACCAATATATTGACTTAGTTCACTAGTTTATGAAGTCATAAAGTTCTGCAGTGTGTAATCCGTGTGTGTGCCCAGCAGAGAAGGATTGCTGTTTGTTAATTTTGCATCAGGTGGTTGGTAGAGGGGTTGTTTCCTTCTGGTAAAGGCCTCTCTGGAATAGGGCTTCAGCCCCCTGGGATTGCCAGTGCCAGGGTTCCCTGAACACGGGGCATTGCCTGGAAGGGAGGATAAAGCCTCTTCAGCTGTTCTTAAGGAACCACAAAGATCTAAACAGGCCCTTTGCCATTTCCTGCTTCCTGAACATTTCAGTGCATTTGCAGAGCTATTGTTTCCTCTCCTTAGTTATTCCTTGCCTCTACACGAGCACAAAGCTTGCCAAGGGTTTGCAGCAATGTTCATTTGTGGGCCAGCCTTAGGACTGTGGGGCAATATGGCCAACTTCCAGATCACTCCTTTTGGGTCTCCATTTAAACAGCAGGATTATGAGCTGAGGTTTGCTTTTCAGCTAATTGTGGACTGTCCCTACAAACCAGGAGTGTCTGATCTGGTGCACTGGCTGACAGTCAAGTTAATTGTGCACAATCTTTGTGATCCAGTCCTCCTGAAGTGGGAAATCTTAAAACTTAAGTCCTGTTCAGAGCTGGTCTTCATCACTCTATGCTGCAAAATCTCAGAAAGGACCCTTCTATCTATTTTAGGTTAGGGAACTGGAAACATTCTTCTTTTTTTTTTTTTTTTAGTTCATCTGAGAGCATATAATAACTTATGTGCCAAATGTATTTTTCAAGATAACTCTTCTGTGTTCACTGATGTTTTCCAGTTTCTGAGTAATCTGAACACTCATTTTCTTTCATAAACAGAAAAATCTAAAATTTTGTAAATGTGTCTTTCTAAGTTTGCCATCTCTTGTCTTTACTTACATAACTGGGTTGTATTTTGGAGTTTGATCTATTTAAATCTTGGTCTAACGTTCTATGGTTACATATTCTTAGTGTTTTTCACATATTCAGTAAAAACTACAGCTTTTCAAAATACTTTGTAAGTCAAGAAATTTTTATACAGCTTCTTGGCATTGGCTATGGAAGACAAAAATTGGGAAAAAAACTTCCAATCACAGCCTGAAAAACTCATATATGATTGACCTGCCTGATGTCATTATTAATTCTAATATGCTTTTATCCTTTCCTGACTACACTGCTTCCCAGAAATATTGTAAGTGGTGCTTCTGCATACACAGTTTAACTGCTGTGTAAACACACCCATCTGCTCAGTGTTTTCCTTCCTGCATAACTTTTACCTCAGTGGTAAAAGCAGCTGACTGAGGGCATTGGGCAAGAAGTGCATCTGATCCTGCAGATTGTCTCGTTGTAATGAGATCAGAAATCGGGTGATGTTAATTCTGTCAGACCATGCCCACGTTGACAAATGCCAGGCAGAGTTCAAGGATTTGGGTGGCAGGACACTTCAGTGTCTGCTGCCTTAAATTCTTGAGTGTCAAGGAACAGCTTTGTTTAGTTCTGGACAGCTCTGCCTTGGAGAGTGTTATAATTTAAGATGGCTTTTCTCAAAACTGTATGTTGTCAAAGCCGATAACATTTGATGTGCTTATGGGCCAAATTGCTGTGCCATGGGAATCAGTATTATTCCAATGACTTCAAATATTTTTCTTGATCTCAAAAGAAGTAGCATTGCCTTCAGATTTGACCATTTCAATGTCAGAAGTGTATGCAGTGTGTTCATATGAAGTTTAGAGTAGTGGAAGTATCTTCCTAAACTCTGTTAGAGACTGGAGGCGGGCTCCTTTTGTGCTGGTGACAAGTTTCAGAAGCAGGGTGCCATCAAAATTCAGCTCAGCAAAGCTACATTCAGCTCACTGGCTCCATATTTTGTACATAAAAAGCTCCCAGTTTTACCCCATGGAATTTTTCCACAGCAACTAACTCTGAGATTCACAGGCCCCACAGGGCAGAAATCACTCTGCATCTCCATGCTGACTCAGCTTCTTCCAGAGGATCAGGAGATATCTTCCATGTTTGGCAGTCCTTGATGTTAAAGTGAGGACTGGCTGCTCCATTCTTACTAATTGCTTCTCAGTTAATGGGGAATATGCTTTTGAAACAAGTGAGTATCTAATTTTAATTCCACGTAGATCTTATCCTGTGCATTTTAGAGGAATAAAATAAAAATTGAAATGACACAGCCTGTCTGCAGGAGAAGTGTTTAATGTTGGCACAAAACAACTGGGTATCTAACCAGGGCAGAATTTAGGATTATATACAGGTGAGTAAGTTGAATAAGGGCAGCATGGACAGGCAGGCTCCAAGATGTGCTGGAGGTTGCTGTTTAGAGGTTTCAGCTGGATCAAAAACATTTAGTTTGGTATTTTAAAGGATTTTAAAACTGAGATAAAGAAAGGTTTGAAATGAGAGGTTTCTGATCTGGCAGTGGAATTCACATGGATCCCTGTGCCCACGCAGGGAAGCCAGTTATGTGACTAGGATTTGGTGTAATGTGTAAGGTAACACATCTGATGTGTGTCTGTACTTCAGGATTGCTACTTTGAATTCTTAAAATGCATAAACCAAGAGATTTGTCGTTCAGATAATCTGATTTGTACAGACTCCTGCAGCACAGCATGTGAGTGCCTAATTCATGGACAGGTCTGTTATTTAACAGAGTGCCTCTGTTACAGTAACAGCAGACAAAAAGCACATGTGGCTCACTGCTGTCAAAAATGCAGATGCAGAAGCATGGTAAGCAGAGGCTCTTAATTTCTTTCTCATCTGTCAAGTACAACCTTTCACCTAAAAAACCCAATGACATGTAAAAGGTAGTTGCTATGCTATTATTTTTATTAGGTATTATTAAATGGCTTCCTCCTGATAAGGGACAGCTTACAATATGTACAGCAACTTAAAATGCAGTTGGTATCCAGAAGCTTCAGCCTTCCCAAGTCACATATGCTGACTATTCAGAGGGTAATGTTTCCTGGGAAAGGCAAGCTTCTGGAACCAGGCTAAATCTGTGAATAGCTTTAATATTGAATGCTGGTGTTTAGGGTCGTGGAAGATGCTGCAAATGAAGGGTTTGTGTTTCCCAATATTTTCTACAAGTAGTTAACACACAGTCTAGGCCAGGTTGCCCTTCCTGCTTCCCAAGCAACATGGAAAAGGCTGTGGGGACAACTCCCTTTCTACCTAAGAGGTTGGGAAGCCTAGAATACAGCTAGAACTGTCAAAAATCAGCCTGAATTGGACATTGCCAAAGAACTTGATTCTTCTCTCTGTTTTGATGGAGAGCATTTTACTCACACCATAATGAAGAATGAGGAAAAGGAAGTGGCACAGGAGAGCTGTGACAAACAAGGAGTCCCTCTGCTGGAAAGGTGACCAGGACATTGTAGCACAGCTTTCTGATCTGGCACAGTTGTATTACAGCCCTGAAAACCAGGGGTTTAGCACAATCTGAGTGTCAAACTCGACATGTACAACAATGTTATAAACTATCAGGGTTTCACTAAAGCAGTATAAACATTCTCATGATTCTTCTCTCTGGGTGGTGGCAGTGCTGGAGTGTTGCACTACCTGTGGGAAAAAAGGGGTGCAATTCTTGGCTACAACTCAGATACAACTTAAGTGTCTGAGTGTTAGAAAAAGCCAAGGAATACCAAGTTTTAGAGAAAAGGGGAAGGCCAAATATAAGAGTGAAAGTTGAGGCAGACTTTGCTCTTAAAATCAGGCTTGAGCTGCTCAGTATCTATCAGTTGAGAAGAACTACAAAATGCAGAATTAAAGGGCAGGTATGGAGTATTTGAGTTCAAGTACAATATTGAAATATATGTTGTGACTTAACCTTCAAGTGCCTTGCTTGTGGAATAACTGATATCTTGCTACTCACGCTCAGCTGTGTACATACTTCTTGTGTGAGAATCCTGGTATAATGAACACCCAGATTAAACACAGAAAACAATAAAGTTGGAATGGCAAGTGTACTTACCTTCAACTGAAATATGATAACTCTGGAATTAGATAAAGTTGAAAAACAGTACTCGAAAGTTTGTTCTCATGTGAATAGTTTCAACAATTAAGTGGGAATATAAAAATATTCTTCTGTAATGAGAGGTTACAGGAACCCTCAGGCTGTCTTGGCACTCTTGCTGAGGTGTGTGGAAAGATGTGTCTCCACAAGTAGCAGCTTACCTGCTCTTGAGTATGGCCTTGCAGGGTCTGGAGAATGGTGACCCTCTGGGGACACTCACAGGCTGCACGAGTTCAGCTTTGAATTGTGCATTTTGTATCTCTTGAAGAACTCCATCAGTGTGCAAGAGGAACCCTGGGTCAGCTTCCGTGCTAAGGGTAAGGAAAAAAAGAACACATTAGCATTAAAAAGCATGAATTTGCCATAATAGAAGAAACACAAAAATAAACCTGTCAAATACACTATTGGTACTAATAGTGTTATAATTTATTTTAGGATTCCTCCTGTGTTGCACCTGTGTCCCAACTTGTTGAAATGGCTGATGTAACAAGCTGCTACAATCTAGATTGAGGTTGGCATTTTCTGCAGGCTTCTAACTCTGTCTTGCTTTTACTGCCAAAGGTTCAACCACCAGGAACAATAGATAGGGAGACCTTCCTTTTCCTTGCATGGAAATCTCTCTCTTCTTTTTCCTTTTTTCCCCTACCCCACTCTTTCCCTCTTGCTGGCCTGTCCTTTCTTGCCCTTTAGAACGAGATCAACACATAGAAATATGGGCTATCAGGTCATATCCCTCCCCTTTTCATGCAGAATGACCTGAGAATTTATTATGTTGTGTAACTTGTGCAACTAACACTTTGGGTTGGTTTTTTTTATTTTTTGGTGTTGGCTTCTGCTTGCAGATTTTTGAAGACATTTGGGTGAAATTGTGCCCCTTTATACACTGAAAAATATCAAATGCAGAATCTTCTTGATATGTCTATAAATCCCCTCTGCCTTCAAGAACAGACAAGCTTTCAATTAAACAGTCTTTTTTTAAGCCTGTCATAATGGCTAGGCTAAGATTATTTTCAGGAACAAGTCATAACAGACTACATTTTTGAGATTTTTTGGGAACTTCTAACAAACAGTTTCAATTTCTATTTGATTAGTGAACATAATAAAATAATAGGATTAAAGAAGTTCTTTGCATCATTACAAAAAGGGATACAATCAATATATTGTATTACAAACAGCTTTGCTGTATTGAATTGTGTGTGGAAAAGCAAAATCCTCCAGTAACCTCTTTAACCACCCAGCAGTCTGACTATGAACTGTATTATCACATCTGACTTCTTGCTGTTGCTCCTAGTGTTTAATACCAGCTCTTCCCTTAGGGCGACTATAATGTTCACTACCTAGGAATCATTGCTCCTTTCCTGCTCCATTCCTGTGGGAAAAGCCTTCCTTTAGCAAATCCAGCAGCCTTCTCACCTCTCTAGAACTGTACAGAGGTGATGTCAGCACACTCCTGTGTGCAAGGAGAAAAACTCTCCCTCAGGGAAAGGTGGGTCCTTGCAGCCTGGGACAGAGGGAAACCAACTGTTACAAATCTAATTACAATGGTGGGTGTGGAAGGAAGAGCAGTTCAGTATTGCATTCATCTCCAAGGCTTTTTTGTGAAGGTAATTGGATTATTGCTAACAAAGAACCGTAGCAATCACTTATTTTCTGTTGTCATGTTGATTTTTGAAAAGCCTTTAGAATGAAGTTCAAAATGCAAATAATTCAATTCGTTTCTACTGGCAATAACAATTTCTTTTTTTACATAGTGTCTACTTCTAGTTCTTCTGGAGTCTGCTTCTGACTTTATAAAACAATATTGATTTATAAATATTGATATATCATTATTGATACATCTAAGCCAATGGTCAGAGTAGAGTGAAACAGTAGATCCTCATGGTGGGACTACTCTCTTTTAGTTCTGAGTTAATAGCAAGCACTTTGCCCCAGATGCCTGTGACTCCTGTTAACTATACACTGCACATAAATTTCTGTGTGAGAAGTGTAATTCATACTGTGCAACAAATTAAGAAAAAGTCAGCATTTCCAAATTTTGACGTTTTCCTACATTACATGTGATGAAATACGCACAGAAAGTAAACGTGGGGTTTCCAGTGGAAGGAGCAGAGCCACACAAGGCAATCTTTTCAGACTGTGGTATAGTTTATGACAAATTGAGATCCCTTGAATATTATTTTAGGTATTTCCCTATTGTACTTCTACCTCTGATAATATTGTGACCGTGGCTATCAAGTTCATGCCATCCAGATATAAACAGTCCTACTTTATAGGAAAGGCTAATTTCTCATTAGCTCTCCAGACATTATACTACAGACAATTTCATGTGTCCTAAAAGCTGTTTTGTGAAGTGTTGCAAATGCTGCAAAGCTCAGCTGCCACTGACAATTCAGGACCATACAAGAAACGGGCTTTTTTTGGCTTTGTTTGTTTATTTGGACAATGGGAAAGTATAAAAGTTGTGTTTGGTTTCTCCCCTTCTCACGATTCCAATTAATGGTTGGGTTTTTTTCCTCTTATGCTTTTTGATAAGCACCAACAGGTTTGAGCCAAAAAATTGCTGACGAGAATACTGTTTCTCATGAAGTGCTGGGAGTAATTTTTAACACAGGTTAGCTTTGTAACCGAGTTTATAATTTTAGACTTACAGAGGAGACCAGAGAGTCCCACCTGGTGGTGGTTGTGTTCTGTAATGTACATACATTGCCATGAGAGAGAAGTATGGCCTAGAGGAGACACCTGAAGACAACAGCTCTTTGGAATAATACCTGCTGTTTACCATTTATCTTTGAAGCAGGTAGCCCACCTTTATTCAGAGATCTTTTTTTTCAGAGTTTTTCCTGTGACATTTTGCACTTCCTGTTCCTTTTTTCGTTATTATTTTAACTACAAGCAGCACTGTGTAGTTCAGTGAGGCCTGGAGTATGAGGGATTGCCATGAGAAGGAAGAAACTCCTTTTTTTTTTTAAGCTCACAGTAAGTAGGACATTTGGAAATTTTCCTTACTGTGCTAAAGACTGACCTCCACATCTGGGAATTCACTCCATCTGTTAGTAAACAGTAACTGTGCAACCTCCTGCTGTTCTTAACTATTTCCAAATCAAACTGTGGCTGGCAGTAAATAAGTGATTGTGCTACCTTTCAGCATCCCATTTCTTCAATATCAGTCATCACTTTTCCAGAAAAGCCCCTCAGAAAAGGTATCTCTAACAGTTCTATCATTTATGTCTCAGTGGGTTTTGCTGGAGGACTGTTCCAATGTACAAGTGCAAAGAACTGAAATTTTTAGGAAGTGAAATGGCTTGGCTTTGGATTAATAGATGTTTGTGAGTGCTTTCACAATTACTAAGTTCCAATTCTTATCCAGTGAATGAAATTACACTTGTAATTTAAAATCACATGTGTTTGCTCCAGTCTAGACTGTTATTGCTTCCTTCCCCAATTAAAGGCAATGTACTCATTAAAATAAGCACATTTTTATTTCAACTAATTTTCTTACGTAGTTAGTGGCTCTTTCATCTTCACAGCACATCACTGAATCAGAAAGCTGTGATTCTCAGAAACACTGTCAAATAAAGCCCTCATGAAAAATCAAGTTAGATTCTACTTAAGATAGAACCGAGATGTTTTTTGAAGACTCTTTTACTGAGGATAAAATACAGCAATGTAATTTATATTCCAAATCTCAGCTGGTATGAGATGGATGTGATCAATCCTGATAAGACAGACTAAGCCTCCTGGCATAGAGATTTCATGCAGAAATGCAGATTCTAATTAATAAATCTCTTAGGTGCAGATAAGGTGCAGTACTCCCTTGAAAACCACCTGGCATAGTCCAATTGTCTATGGAGTTACCCTCATCCATGGATACAGCATTATTTCTCACCATGTGGTATGTACACTGTGCTGTCCTTGTTTTTTCTAATCACATGAAAGCTATAAAAAGCTTTGGGTCTAGGCTTTTAACAAAGAACAGTCAGTGGGAATTTGTGTGGGTTTGTTTTTTTTTTTTTCCATGTAGATTTCTCTGAGAAATTGTTCATAGTAGCCAGAGAGGACAATTTCATGCAAGGTTAGAGGATAATGGGAAAGGTTGCACATTTATTTATTTATTTAGAAACAGATGTGGCATTTTTATAGGGGAAAAATGTAATCGTTGTGTCAGGATTTAGACAACATATTTGGCTTAAAATTACCCTGAGAAACAAAACTGGGGTTTCTGCAGATGATTGAGGTTATTTTGATGAAGAAGACAGGCTTCCATTTGCACGTCACTTAGTTCTTACATATTTGTGCATGGCAAGTCTTTTATGCTTTATTGTTAAATCAGAGAGAGGACACACAGTGAAAGAGTGGCAGAGCTTTTGCAGATGTCACTTCTCCTCTGGGAGCTGAGACTCTCCAGCTGCCAGCAGGGAAAAGGGAAAGCAGATTGCTGTGTGTTGGCATTTTTTATGTGTGTCAGACATCTTAACATATCTTAATCTGTTGGTTTTACTGCTAATATAACAGTGTTGCAAAACTTTCTGAGAATTATCTTATTGTTACTTAGCAGTTTTCTAAGTAATAGCAGTTATTTTAACTATTCTTCTAGTAATGTAATGTGGGAGTTTATTTGAGTATTTGACATAACTGCTTAAACTCCTTTTGGTTTTGCTTATTTTCTACAAGTGCATTCAGCACTGAAATCTCCTATGTATTACTTAGAAACAAGCTTAAAAACAGTGAAAAATGAAGTTACTATAAAATTTTTAAATCAAAAGGTAAATAAGATTAAACCCCATATCAAATACTGTTATTTCTGCAAATACTAAACTTTGCTTTAGGAAAGGCAATATCATGCATATTGATCTCTTCCATCTGTCAGGTCCAAAAATATGTGCCTTAAATATATAGTTGCCTCCAAGATTGTAGCAATGAAAAGTTGCAGGAAGGGAAATCCTCGATAGCTGGAGATAATAAAACACCCCCCATAATCAGAGTCAATAAGGCACTGGCTGCTCAGAGAAGCTGTGGCAGATTTTGGAGGTTTTCAGAAGTTGTCCAAACACAGCCCTTGGCCTGATGGAACTCATCCCAAGTCCTCTCCCCTCTGTAGACTTGGTGATGAGAGTTGATGCAACATTACCTGGCTGATTTCCCCCCTTCTGTTTAGGGAGGCACACTGGTAAAACTTGCCATCTGTTCCCTTGCTAACACTCAGATGGCTGGAGAGTTTATAACATTAAAGCAGTCAAACAGGAGAAGAAAGCTTGGCTATTGAGCCACCAGTCCATGTCCCCACCCCAGACTGGCACTAGAACTGCTGTGACTGGGATTTATTTATGCATGTAAGATGGTGCAACAGGCAACACTAAACAAGTGTTTGCTGCTGTAGTCTGTAATTCTGTTCATACAACTGAAGCTTTAACTGATACTTCCAGTGCAGGTTTCCTGTCTTTTTTTAGGTTTCAATTTTTGGTAGAGGTTTCCCCTAAGAGGTGTGATCAAATCTTGCCACATAAATAGCAAACCCACAGTGTTATAGTGTTGTACCTATAATTTCTATTTAGTAAATTAGTATCCAGTGATGGAATCATCAAATCCTCTTGTTTAACCAAGTGCTACAATAATATACAAGGAGCCTCCACACATCAACCAGAACAAGTTTTTGATGACTTTCAGCTGAGTAAAACTAAGGATTCTATTCAAATTTATCAAGCCAGTCATGTCTATTCAATGCTGGTATTTAGAAAAAATGAGTAGAATGCAGGGGTTTTTCCCTAGGGAGAATGAACCTTATCTGTGTATGCAATGAAACGTAAGCAAACACCAATATTTCTGTTTGTCCTGTGTCTGTTCTCCTGGATACAGAACTCCTACGTCATGTATCTGTGTATGAGGGGTTTTTGGGGTGGTTTCCCTCCCCCCCCCATTTTGGACTGTTTACCTTTTTCATTGAGAACACACAAGGAATGGTATCTGCCAACAGACAGAGCATTAATGTCATTTTTAAGGAGCAAGGAAAGCTCAGGCAGACTAACAAAGGATTATCTGGTAACAGAGGTGCAAAAATATGTATCTTTATTTTCAAGTAATATATATTAAAGCTGCCACGTTCACAGGGTTTCCACTCTTAATTCCATTCCATTTTCCTTTTGTTTTCTGAAATCTATGTAGGATTTACTGAAACAGGGTATCTGACACAAATGTGGCTACCTGGGGTTCTTTTCCAGGTCGAATCCCATTACTTCAAGAGCAATTTTTGATCCCCTGTGTTTGCTAGGAAAGGATAGAATCATTTAGGTTGGAAAGGACCTTTAAGATCATGGAGTCCAACCTTTCACCCTGCCCAGGCCACCACTAAACCATGTCCCAAGAGCCACATCTACAGGTCTTTTGAGTGCCTGCAGGGATGGGGACTCTGCCACTCCCCTGGGCAGCCTCTTCCAATGCTTGATAACCCTTTGGGGAAGAAATTTTTCTTAATATCCTACCTAACCCTCCCCTGGCACAACTTGAGGCCATTTCCTCAAATTTTAAGACAATTTTAAAAATTCACAGAGTTCTTTAAGTTCTTCAGGTAAACACTTTAGTCAATCAGGATATTATTTAACCACACACAAGCTATTTTCTTGTGGTTTTCAACACCCTTTATAGTTGTGATTAACTTTTCTCTGTTTTTTTAGCTGTGCAGAAATTATGACCATCATGAAAAGTGAAGTAGAAAATGGATATATCATCCTGGCTGTATTTTATAATTGTTACAGAGAAAATGTAATACCACTGATATGCATGATTGTTCTTAAACTTACATGCACTAAGAGCATGAACTGCCACTGGTCAGCCAGTACTTTTGCTCAAACTGTAGTGATTCAGCTGGGCTTTGTATATACAGAAGATAAGTCTTTCAAAATTTCACTTTAAAAAGATCACAAATGAAAATTTATTACCTAATAGAAGGGCAGCAGGAGCTCTATTCACAATTTTCCTGACTTGTCACTTCCTTAGGATGGGAATAGCTTTGAACAGCCAACACTGCACAAAACAAGGAAACAAATAAATTGAATATAAAATGTAATTTATGTGGTTTCTATAGTTTACCTAAAGAGCAATTAGCTTATCTGAAGCTAAATAGACACAAAATGAGAATCCAGTAATATTTTATTAAAACTCTGTCCTCTACTTCAAATATTAGAATACGCAGAAATCAATTAATTGGTGAAGAACTTTTATGCTCAGATATGTTGGGGCAATACTGCAATAGGGTATTTAACAGTCCTTGTGCAAGAACTGCCACTGTACATGGGAGAAAAAGGCTTCCAGTGTGCACTGATCCATCATGGCAATTATGGAAGAGCACAAGGAGAGACCTTCCACTGCTGAACCTCCCGAGCATTTCTGTGCTGCTTCTCCAGCACTGTCACCTTCCCCAGTCAAATCTGATCCAGACCATTGTGTTTAACAGCTGCTGCAGGCCTGAACTTTGGCCTTTGTGGCATAAGGGTCTGACTTATCCTTTGAATCCTTGGTGTTAAAAACTGCTTGCAAGAAAGGTAGGCATGTACGTATGTTATAGTAATGGGGTCCAGGTGTGCCTTTTGTCTCTTACAGTGTGAGAAAAGGTGATAAATCCTCTTGTGCTGCTTGGACTGGACTCTATGGTTTATCACATACAGTGTAACAAGCCAAAAATGCATTTGACACATCATTATTTGGGTGAGGTGATCACTGTAAAGTCAAAGGAGATCCTAGCAAAGCTCTGTGCAGAGCTCAACTGCAGCAAGAGGGAGCTTGTACGCCTGACATACAGGCTGTGACAGAACCAGAGGAACAGTCGCTGATGGACCTGTCCATTGTCAGCTTATTTACTTTCTTTCCCTCAGGTATTTGTGGTTCTGTAACATCCTCTTGCACCAAGCTCACAGTATATTTGTGCACTGTTTAAAGCAGTATACGTCTCACCCTGATCATACTCATGTGGTCTTGATGTATTTTCTTATACCTTTGAGGTTGAATCCTATCACTAATAATTGATTTCCTTTCTCTGGAACACATTTTTAGATAGAATGTGCCATTTTGAGCTACAAAGTGCTGTGCCTAGGAGTTCAGAATGACTTTACAGAACCAGTTTGAGATTAGTTCCCTGAGATTTAAAACCTTGTTCCAGGGTTGACCTGCAGGTTCATGACACAGAGTAGCTCTTACCTGTTTTGTCTAAAGTGCTATTAACTCTCAAAAAGCTGGGGTTTGTGATTTTTTTGTCACTTGTGTTCCCTTCCTCTGTGAGTTTCTGTGTCACCTGAACTGCTAGATTAGCAGTTTTAATAGCTTAATTAATAGTTTTAAAATAAGAATTTTTTTTTTTTTTTGGAGCCGTAGTCACAAGCCACGTCCCGTCAATCCCAGAGGAACAGAGGGTTCACCCTGGGGTGGCATCGGCCCCGCACAGGCGGTACCTGAGGGGGCCTGGGGGGCTGAGGGGGCCCGGCTACAGTCCAGGGCTGCCGAGGAGCCGGGGACAGGACGGTGCCGCGGGTGAGGGGCCGGGAACGGGGCAGGACGGTGTCGGTGACACAGGATGGTGGCCGCGGGCGCGGAGCCGAGCGCGGGGCCGGGGACAGGGCCGGGACGGGGCCGGGACGGAGCCGCGGCCGCTCCTCCCTCACGCGGAGGATTCGCCGCGGCTGTGGCGGCGCCGGCCCCGCGCCGCACGGGGGCGCCTCTCGCCGCCGCCCGGCCCTGCCCGCCCCGCTGCCACAGCCCAGCCCGGGCCCGCGGCTCCGTCCGTACCCGGCACCGGCACCGGCAGCACTCCGGCTCCCCGGCACCGGCAACACTCCGGCTCCCCCGCCCCGCCAGCCCGGCAGGCGCTGGGCCGCGCCCCGCCCCGTCACCTGACTGCGGGGGGCGCGCCGCGCTGGGTCACGCCGCGCCCGCCGCCCCCTCCCCGCGCTCCGCTCACCTCCCGCCGGCTGAGGGGCCGCCTCCGCCATGGTCCTGGAGTCGGTGGTGGCGGATCTGCTGAACCGCTTCCTGGGCGACTATGTGGAGAACCTGAACAAGTCCCAGCTCAAGCTGGGCATATGGGGCGGTAAGGAGCCCCCTCCCGCCGCGTCTCGCTGGCCGCGGTTCCCCCGTGAGGGGTTCGCGGGCCGCGGGGCCGCCGTCCGCTCCGAGGGGCGGGCGGTGGGTTTGCGGCCCCCTGTGAGGAGAGGGCGAGGTGCGGGGCCGCGGGCCGTGGTGAGGGACGGGCAGTGTGTGGGTCCGTGCCCCTCCCAGAGGGGCGCTCGGTGCGTGTTCCCCCGTGAGGGGCGGTCGGTGTGTTGTTCTCCTGTGAGGGGCGGTGGGTCCGTGGCCGTCCCGGAGGGGCAGTCGGTGTTTCTTCCCCCGTGAGGGGCGGTCGGTCTGTGCCCCTGGTGGGCCGGCGGTCGCTGTGAGCCCGCGGACTCTGCCCCCCGCCTCGGTCGGGCTGTGGGGCGCTCGGCCCCGGAGCTCTGAGGGAGGAAACCTTGCACAGCGATAACCCCCCCGTTTTCTCTTTCCCGCCGTGCTGGGTGGAAGCAGGAGGGTGCTGCCGGGGCTGTGGGCGCTCCGCTCCGCGCCCGGGTGTCGGTGCAGCCCGTGGGGGGCTCGGGGGCCGCGTCTGTGCAAATACCGCGTGTGGAGCACCGGGACAGCGCAGGAACGGGGAGCGGCTGTTCCAGTGACTGTATCGAGCATTTCAGCTCGCTACTCTGTAGCCATGTAAAAACCAGCCCAAGTGCTGCCTGGAGGAGCTGGCTTGGTTTGGGTGCCTCCCGTGCGCGAGGGATGAGGCTTTTCTCGTGACCTTATTTACGCTCTTACCATGTATTGCAAGTGTTTTAACATTTGTGCAATATTAATACCTATATTTAAAATGGATTATAGCTCTAAGGAATCTAGCATTTAAGCACTAAGAGGTATATTACATGTGCTCTCCACGGCTATAATTCTGTGCCCGTGTTTCCTATGGAAATCCAATTATGTTGCCTACGTCAGGAAAAGTTAATGTGTTTGTGTAAACAGGCATGTGTTTTTGTGGCTCTGTGATTCATGCTTTTTCTGTTACGTGAAATCGTGAAAAACAAGGTACAATTTTCCAAGTCTGCCCTACAATGATAGAACTGTAGCGATCATTCACGACTATGTGGATAATAAGAACAACTCTTATTATTGTGGGTGTATTTAAGAGTGGAAACATGCAGACATCTAAGTTGGTGATATTTTTGTCATCTCTTCCACCTGAAAATTTGTCTATTATCAGTGTTTAGTGACTGTTACAAATTACACATTTATTGTGCTATTCTGTAACTACGATAAGCAGTATTTTATTTATGTATACCTGGGAGGGTCGTAGTTGTGTTCCTTGTTCCAACTTACATAATACTTTAAGTCCCATGTTCTGTTTTTATCTTTATTTTTTCTGAACAGGTAATGTGGCACTTGACAATTTACAGATCAAGGAGAATGCATTAGTAAGTAATAACTTTAAAAATTGTTTTTATGGGTCTGAAGACTAAGTTGTAGGATAAAATATTGTTTGCTATAGCATCACAAAAGCATACACAGTGCCCTTTTTTGCTGGTTATTGAAAGTAAGTTCTTGGTTCACTGCTTCTAATTTTTTTCATGTTACTGGAACAGAGAAAAACAGAAGCTGTGGTTGAAAAACAAGAAGTATCTTGCATTAAGTACCCGTGTTGCTGTCTGGAAAAACAAATGACTTGGCTGATTTTCATGTTCTTTAATTGAGCTAACGAACACCTGCATTGCTGAGAGAATCTCACTCCAATATTTATTGTGCTTCAAGCTTCACTAAAGAGAACTGTTACTCTTCTGTGCATTGAAAACACATTGGATCTTTGTATGACCTAATCATTGGTTTCCCTTCACTGTTCTGAAGTTTCACTTTTACTTGCCCATTTCATCCATTCCTGATAACTTTGTTGTACTTTAAAAAACTCTCTACAAATATCTTCATAAGGTGGTAGATAAAAAAAAAGGAAGGAAGTGTTGCCTACTTTGTACAGCCATTCCTTCTTCTGGGGGTTGATTAAGATTCCAGCAGTTCTGAGTTAGAAAAATGCAAAGTCACTAGTGTGTCTGACCAGAGCTGAGAGTGTGCCAAGACAAATGCAGGAACTTAAAACAAGGGATATTTCCGGTGGCTTTACATTTGCAGTGTGTTAGATTTCTATGCAGAAGTAATTAAGGGAAGGTCAGTATTTTACACCATTTTTAGAGAATTAGCCTACACCTTCTTGAAAAAGAAGGGATTAAAGGAATGTGATATGATCCAACTTTTTCTTTTTTCCCCCTAATTTGCATGTCTGCTGCTGTCTGGATTATTTTTGTTTTCCTCTTAAGATTTTTCTGCCAGAAAAGAAGTAGCTTTTCATTTCTGTATGTAGACCCAAGCTTATCTTTAAAATCTTTTTTTATTTACAGAGTGAACTGGATGTACCTTTTAGAATAAAAGTTGGTCAGATAGGTAAGTTTTAGTTCCGATGCAAGTATTGAAATGGAAATTGTAACACAGGCTTTAAGGTCAGTCCTGCCCCTGAATTTCTTTGATGAAGCTTTCTGAAGTGTAGCTGTGCTCACTCCTGAAAGTAGCACAGAAATTCAGTGTGTCTACCGTGGATGTTATCTGGCAAACCCTGTTTGTGTAACTTTCCAGGTTGGTATGAAAAACATGTCTGAGAAGTTCTTCCTGGGTGATCAAGGGAGCTGTTTAGTACAGACATGACTCTTTAAAGGAGTGATTAGGACTATGAGGAATTTAAGTAAGATTCCCGAAGCTGACAGATATGCCAAAGGTTTAGGAACTCTTAGTTAGATGTTTTTTTAAAAATTTCCTTTCTCTGGTGGTCAGCATTGCTTTTTCACATGAAACAATGTGTATATATGTTGCATTTTTTCTTCTACTTCCCTGGGAAAATCATGTTCATCCCAGTGAATTGAACTCCAGTCATGATCTCAGGTTTTGATATGAAGTATTCTGACTCAAACTGCAACTTTTTGCTCAAAACTTATGTTTCCTCTGCATATGTTTTATCACTTCAAGGGCTTTATAAAATGTTCAGGCCCACATGTTTTACTTTCCAAGATATTGAGGACATCAGGATATAGGGCTAATCCTCTTCAGTTCCTGAGGGCTTGTTTGGACTAAGCACAGTAGATTTTTGTTCTGATGTGATTTTTATCTGCTTTGTTTAGATAAACTTACTCTGAAGATTCCTTGGAAGAATCTCTATGGAGAGGCAGTTGTTGCAACTCTAGAAGGCTTATATCTTCTGATAGTTCCTGGAGCAAGTATGTGAACTCTTCTTACAGCAGTTAAATAATGGGAAAGAAAAATCTCTCAGGGTACCATGTAACTGGGTATAGAACAGCAAGTAGCTCGTGTGAGCTGCCACTTCTACATTCAGTTCCCTCAGGGAAGTTTCTAGACAAATGTTGACAAGTTAGTAGACAAGGGTGGGAGAAAACAGCACCTGTTGCTTTTATGGAGATCCTTGATTGTATCCATTCCAAGTTCAATTCAACGGCCAAGTTTCCTCTAAAATGTGTTTATCCTGAATCCAGTTTTCTGGCATGGTTTAGAGCTTTGGCTGTTGCATGATATAGTTTATCTGCTTCTAACTGGCAAGAGTTGCAAGTAGTAATTCCATTAGTATTGTTTTTAGGGAGAGGGAAGAGGATCAGAGAACTTGATTAGTTTTCTCTGAAATCAGAACCTCTGGTACGTTTGAGGAAACTTGCAAATTTATACAATATCAAATATATGTGTAGTAGAACTTACAAACCTGTGGCTATATTGCCACAGACCACACCTAGGGGTTTAATTTCCACAGATGAATTCTCCTGTGAAGTAATGCTGAATGGTTGGTACGATCCTGTTGTGTCTTACTGTGTGAAAAATAACAATTTGGAGGCTGAAAGCAGCATTCAGCAACAAAACCTGGAACAGGCTTTGCCTCAAATGAGGTGTTTTGCAGTGTAATGTATATGGTATGTGCTCCTTGATAATGCATTTATATGACTTGGGAATTAGGGTTAAAGCTGTCCCAACTTGACTTACAGGTGTTAAATATGATGCAGAGAAGGAAGAAAAATACTTGCAGGATAATAAACAAAAGGAACTGGCAAGAATTGAAGAAGCCTTGCAGAAAGCAGCAGAAAAAGGTACTGAGTTAATGATGCAAATCTCCAGTGGAATTTGAGGACTTAAGCTGTGCTATGAAAGACAAGTTCTGATTTGTGATTGACTTCATAAATCTTGTTTTTTCAAGTGTCTAGGTAATCTTACTACAGTGCTTTGAAAAGCCTGTTTCCTCTAAAGCTTGAAGAAAGTGTTATTTGTTTGTTTAACATTTGTTTATCCAGTCAGATTCCATGGGAAACGGGAATTTGATAGTGTAGGATGTCTTTTTTATCCTTTTCCTTCTTTTTTTTTCCCCCTTAAACCTCTAAGGGAACAGGACTGACTATAGAAACTGCATTGCATGAGGCTAATGTTGTTATCTTGGTGTAGATCCTCAATAATAGCTGTTTAACTGTGTGTTTTAGAGGTGCATGGGGTAGGTTGTTCTTTGCTGAAAGGAATCTATCTGGGAATGGTCAGGCTTGTGAAGTTTTGCTGCAGCAGCGCTTTCATTTCAGTTTCTGCTGTCCTTTCCTGAGGTACTGGGTTTGGACTGGTTTGGGAATTGAGACTCTGGAGCAGGAAATAATTCATGAGACAAGGAAACAATTGAGCATGAACATAGGAAACTTAAAATTTAGCTCTAGGTCATAAAAAATGTTAGAGGTTCAATTATAGGTTAAAATAATTGATATTTAAGTCTAGTTAGCCTGATTTATGGTGGTGGGTTTTGTTTGTTTGTTTTGCTGTTGTTTGCTTATATTGTTGTAACAAATACCTTTCATAAAATTATGATATAAATGAGGCTTGTTTGGACAGAACCCAAGCTCAGAACCAATGACAGGTAGCTGCATATGTTGGAGGAGGAAGTTCTCACTGAAGTTTTCGTCTGAAGTGAGACCTGTTTGTTGGCTGGTATAATGGTTCTTAAGATGCATTTCCAGGGTAGCTGTAATAGTGCAGGTCTTGGAAAAGTTACTGAAAATGAGATGATGCTTCAAACACTTGGAAAAACACTTGGGTGTAATCTCTTTGCTTGTTTAATTTTCCAGTTATAGGAGAGCC